GAATGCCTTCCACGGGCGTCCTAGGTTGGGATCGCGCGCGGCGCACAGCCCTGCCCGAGAGGAAGCGCCGCCGGCGGGCACGGCGATGTGGTGGGACTTCCCGAAGAGATGCGCCCAGGCTTGCGCGCTCCAGCTCCGCCCGCTTGGCGCCAGGGGGCAGGCGCAGAGAGCGATCCCCACACTGGCCCGCTGGGAATCCTACGGGCAGTCGATGCAGTGGACCCCCCGGCTCTCCCAGGATGGTGTTTTGCGGGTCGCTGCCAATGTTCCCTCTAAGCTGTAGAGTCTTGTGAGCAAAAATTCTACTTTGTGAGCTTACTGGCATTAAGGTTGTGAGCGAGCGATTTGGTTACTGCATAAATTAGTTTGCACTGGAGCCATCCTTCTTGAGCTAGGACAAAAATGTGTGAGCCTGGAGGCTAAAAAACTGAGCTAGCTCACACTAACTCAGCTTAGAGGGAACACTGGTCGCTGCTAGGGTTGCCAAATTCCAGGTCGTTCCTCTCCAGGTGCTGCTCCCAAGTCTCAAGGCGTTTCCCAAGCCAGTTGGCAACGCTAGATGGCATGGTCCTTTTTTTTAAGGTTAGGAGTTTTCCTCACCATTCCCGCCTTCTAGTTCTTCATCCTCTCCCATAGTGATCTTGCGGGATCCCGACCTATAAATGGCTACTAGCCATGGTGGTGACTAAAGGGAACCTCCAGGCTCAGAGGCAGTCAACCTCTCAATCCCAGCGCCAGAAGGCAACTTGTTTATTTATTTATTGCGTTTTTACCCTGCCCTCCCCGTGAACGGGCTCAGGGCGGCTTACACGGGGGGCACAAGCCCATACATAAAAACAATATAAAACATTAAAAGCTATTAAGTCACAACAAAGACAAATAAAGTGCTCCGTATAGCAAGACGGTCTCTGAAATGGTATCGATCATTTCATTAGGGCGAAATTGTCCTGTCGATGGTCCAAGCCAGTCCAGCAGCATCAGTGCCATGCAGAATTATGGCAGTTCTTCCGGGGACCACACCCAACCCCGTTGTTCCAATGATGGTAATAATAGACTTCAGGAGAAGGCCTCGGCCTCTAGGCCCTGTTGTTGTCCCTCCAGAGAAACTGGTTGGCCACTTTGTGTGACAGGGGGCTGGACTAGAAATTAGGGATGCCAAGCTCCAGGGGGAGCCTGGAGATCCCTCAGAGTTACAATTAATCTCCAGTCTACAGGATCCAGTTCCCCTGGAAAAAACGGATGGAGGGTGGACTGTATGGCATTATACACCACTGAGGTCTCACTCCTCCCCAAACCCTGCCTTCCCGAGGCTCCACTTCCAAAATCTCCCGGTATTTCCCAACCCAGAGTTGCCGACCCTTTCCCTGGTCTGATCCAGCAGGGCTCTTCTGATGTTAACCTGCCCTGTCTAGAAGGCGCAGTTTTGTGGCCGACTCCCCCAAGCTGAATTCAGGCGATTTCTTGTGCTGGTCCTGCCTCAAGAGGAGCTGAGCTGGTGGAGAAAGAGGCCTGTCTGGCTGGACCACAACCCAACTGTTGAAACTCTTCTTCCTTCGCTAGAAGGGTTACTATATTTTGAAAAGCAAAACAAAAAGAAGGATGTATTTCCCAACTGGCTACTTCTCAAACAACTGATCACTATGACTAATCTCATTTTCAGTACCCCTGCTATTTAAGCTGTGATAATTGCTACTAGCTACGAATATCCCTAACTTTCCTTGCTTTTAAATAACCACAATTTTAATTTCACGTGGGTAGGCGTGTCGGCCTGAAGCGACAGAACAAAGTTTTGAGTCCAGGGTCACCTTTAAGACCAAAAGAGGTTAATTCTGGGTATAAGCTTTTGTGAGTATGAACTATGTTATCTGAAGAAGTGTGCCTGCACACGGAAGCTTATACCCAGAATTGAACTTTGTTGGTCTTACAGGTGTCACCAGACTCGAACTTGGTTCCAACAATTTTCATTGATTTATTTAGGCTAAATCATAGCCAAGGACATGTCATCTCCTCTAAAAACAGGACATCTGGTAACCTTGTGAATTCAGCTCCTCCTCCTCGCAGTGGTGCCATCCTTACCCGCAGGGGCGGATTAAGGCTCACTGGTGCCCTAAGCATCGACCAATCTTGGTGCCCCCCTCCTTTCCACACTGACCCAGTCCATTTTAGT